GCAGACAGTTTTATTCTGCCAATGTCAAATTACGATAAATATTTCTCTCTCTCTCTCTCTCTCTCTCTCTCTCTCTCTCTCTCTCTCTCTCTCTCTCTCTCTCTCTCTCTCTCTCTCTCTCTCTCTCTCTCTCTCTCTCTCTCTCTCTCTCTCTCTCTCTCTCTCTCTCTCTTACCTGAGCTAGCTTCCTTGAAATCGGCAGTGTGAGTAGTATATTTTATAACCTAAAGTATTGTTTTTCTTTGTTTTCTTCTAATTTCTTATGCCTTTTCATAACTTAATCGTTAACCTTTCCATACGGCTATTTTCATCATCCTGCCAGTTTCTTTTCGTTTTTAAAATCGTAAAACATACAAAAACACGCCTTAATAAACATATCCCTTAGAAAACTTACTAAGGCAAGTATTTCACAACACTCGTCCTGTCTTCGTTACCTTTATTTTAAGTTAACCTTTAAGTTTAAATTAAAGTTCTTTACATTAATGTTAGAATGATTATATTACCCAACCACGTTCCAAAACTCCGTGCTTTTCGCACCTTTTAATAACTGCAATTATTTATAAGCTTGCCAGTACTGTATAGCATATAGTTATTTATAACACTGATATGTCACATTGTGTATATGCTGGACACGTCAAAGGAGATCTACTCATACAGCCTACGCGCAATATTCTCTCTCTCTCTCTCTCTCTCTCTCTCTCTCTCTCTCTCTCTCTCTCTCTCTCTCTCTCTCTCTCTCTCTCTCTCTCTCTCTCAGTATAAAAAGTGAACTTGTGTATATAAACGCATATTTAGTACAATGTCTATTTGGACTTCAAATAGAGGTAATAACGCATATTTAGTACAATGTGTATTTGGAATTCAAATAGAGATAATGTAGACAGATGAGAGTTAACAGTGAGTTGCTTCTCCTTGATACACAATATCTATAATAAGAACCTGGCCCGCTACAGGAACAACAAAATATGAGAAATCTACAATAAAGGTCAACTTTTTTTAAGCCATATCAGTAACACACGTTTATTAATGGCTCATAATTTGTTATATAATAACTGTCTTTACCTTTTATAGAGAGGTATTTTGTGATGAAATTTATTGTCTAACTTATTTTTTCAGTTTTTTCCAGAGAACGATAATTTTATAGTATTGTTATATCTGTCAGCTCTTACCCTTAGATGATGATCGATGTACTTGTATATGTTAGGTGCTGGTAAGGGTACTTTTTAAGGGTGATTAAGTAAAGTGCCAATTTATATGGTTGTTTCATAATTGTAACAATGTAATTCATTCTTACTCTCTGGTTTCTAGGTTTCTAGTTATATAATTCAACGTATTTATTCTCAAAATTACTGTCTATTGTACTGATTATATTGGGAAATTGATAGCAAACGCTATTCTATGATGATAACTTGACCCAATGTGACGGTATTTACTTGATTTTCATAAGCATCATTTCTGTTGAAATTCAGAATAAAAATTTCAACACATTAAGAGAGAAGGGAAAAACCTTGTATGAAGCTGGCCAATATGACCTTTCACTGGAAACCTACGGTGAAGCTTTGTCCTTCCAAGATTTGGACAATGGGACGAGGGCGATCTTGCATAGTAACATGGCTCAATGTTTCTTGAAGAAATGTAACTACGAGGCAGCGCTGAAAGAATCTACATCTGGTAAATTATATCTAAATGTTTGTATAGTGATAAAAATTATTAATTACATCATTTGAGTTAATCATAAATATTGTACATTGTACGTTTCAATCTCTCTCAGAAAAAAAGACAATCATATTTCTAAAAATAAATACTGTGAATTAGTCAAATGTATATGCTATTACCAAATTCTAATCGCTTCAATTAGTAACATATTCAACATTATCTATATTGCGGTACAATCAATATAATCGTTGATTAAGTTCTAGGGAAAGTAGTGAGGACTTATCCATGGGTAAGGAGAGTAGGATGATGATTTACAGAATAATGTCTTTGTATACATACATATCAGTTAAATGGTGATCATGAAATAATTTGGATATGACTTGCTGTATAGCTACGAAATTTCCTTTAGGATTTGGAATGCCTAATTGCCAAGGATGACTCTAAAGTTTCCCGAATACTGTCTAACATGCACACTATGTTAAAAGTAACTTAATGTATATCAAGTGTTTCACAATGTGCTCACAAGCTATTGCAAAATACATCTTTTGCAATTTCTCATTTCTCATATCGTTTATAGAGCTACGCTTCAGGCAAATCAAAAATATAAGTCAGGTAAAATTAATTCCAACCTAATGACTGGTAAAATCTGAGTTTTATCAATTATTTTAATATACTATCCCAACTTTAAGAAAATGTCTTCTCAATCTCTCAATCATTTGTTCAATATTGATTTCAATATTATTGATTTGTGATATATATATATATATATATATATATATATATATATATATATATATATATATATATATATATATATATATATATATATATATCAGTGTGTGTATATATGTGTGTGTTTGTGTGTGTGTGTGTGTTCTTAGGAGTCTATGTTGTTCTTAAATAAGTAACAGAAAGAAGTGAAAGACACCACGCTTTGCAAAATTCAGCAAATAATTTATTCTCTTGATTACAAAGTTACAATGAGAAAAAAGAACTTACAGTATTGCGAATTAAACCGCAAAATAATCCAAGAATTACAAAACCAAGTCTAAGTAATTTAAAGTCCTTAATAAACCTCAGTACAAGTCCAGAAGAAATCCAAACACCGAAGGCAAAGAAGTGTCCTTTATATTTTGTAGAGTGCTGGTGTGTCAACAGTCTTTTGTTGAATCACATTAATATAATTCTGTTTTTGAATTCAGTATAAATTCCAGTAATGTCTTTATCCAAGAAATTTTATATTTCCAGATAAAAAAAAACCTCTTCCATTTAATAGTTTGAAGACAAATAAAATTCAGCCCAACTGGGCAAAACATAATACAACTTCAAAGTGCTGGATGTTAAAGCACGAATGACCAAGACCTTACAAATACAAGATTATATAGTTCTCTGCTTGACCACGGGTAACAAATAGCATTTTCTATAAGTGAAAGAAAAACATTACCCAATCGAAAATAATATTTTTTAATGATCCTGATGTTTACAAAAAAATAACCTGGATTATTTAATTAGAAAACTACCATACGTTGAGCCGAATAAACACATTTACCTCCTTTATTAATAAATATTCTAATATTAAGCCCATTTTCAGAGATTTTAATTTAGCTATGTATTATTTCTTTACAATTAACAAAATATAAAGGTCAATAAAGGCAAGCAGAAAAAACTCCGTTTTGGACAAGGTCAAGTCGATTTTGTCACTATGTTACATTATAAAAGCATGTAATGAAATAAAAAAAATAAAAAACAAACAATATATATATATATATATATATATATATATATATATATATATATATATATATATATATATATATATATATATATATATATATATATATATACATAAATATATATAGAGAGAGAGAGAATGAGAGAGAGAATGAGAGAGAGCAGCTGATGTTGGTAGATGATGCTTCCTTGGAGGAACCAAGTAAACTTGTATAATTTTCGTCAAACTGCAATTAAAAATCTAGTTCATCAAATGAAACTGTTGTTTTTTTATATGAAAAACAAAACTTTGCAGTTATGAAAAAAATGTGTAAAATTGATCATTAGATAGTCTTGACTGATAAATTAATTTGTATTAATATTCATTTCCGTAGCGTTTATATATCAAGTGCATTAAATCTTCAATAAAAATCATATTTTGTGGGTTATTGTAATACTGTTCCTTTTTCATTTATTCTCCAGAGACGTCTAAATATTATTAATTTTCAAACTTGAACTTTGTAGTTCAGAGAAAAAATGTTTTATTTAATTTATATTTTCTTCCGATTACAATCTAATTGAACGTTTTCTTATAAGGATCTAATTGTACACATTTAAAGATGTTTATACTTATAGTGTGCTCTTTGTATTCAATACAGCATTGAATTTGATGCCGAATGACCAAAAGGCCTTGTATAGGAGATGTCTAGCTTATGAAAACTTGGGACTGTTAGACAAAGCTCTCAATGATGCATCAGGATTGAATCCAACCAGTACATTAACAAAGGAAATTCTTACACGCCTCAAAAGACTCATGACAAATAGAACAGTACGTATTCGACGTTCACGAATAACAATTATTCAAAATGAAGAATCAAACGCTTTTGAAAGTCAGACAATCTATCCCTCTTTCGTGTTCTATTAATTCACAATACTTTGACGATTTTGATCAACGAATAGGCAGAGAGTATATAAAAGTTGTCTTCTTGTCTTTCTGAGGTGATAGATGAACTATAAACACAGATGAGCAAGTGCATGTACCTTTCAGTCAAATGATGTTTATATTACTCAATGTCTCTTTGTGTCGCACCATTCAGCAAGGGTACGCATTAAATTCATGCTTTGCGAAAATCTTAATCATCAAAACGGTGTTTATTATGTACCTGTATATTGCGGCTTTCATAATAAAGCCCATGATGGAATGGTTCCTGGGGTTTGTGGTAGTAATTGTTGTTTTTGTATGAAGTAGATGCTATTGTTATGGTGGTAATGGTGATCAAGTGTCAGTATAGTGTTGGCATTATTTTTTGTTTTTATTCGTTATTTCATTTGATTAGTAGTGTTTATCAATATATCGTTTGTCTTAACCAGGACTAGGAGAATGTGAAGTGGTGCGATGTGATTACGATTTGTAATGTAGCTTTAACAATTTTTCAGTCATATCGCTACGATGTCTGCAGTCTAACAGTTTATGGTGATGTCTAGCACTGGGGCATCATGCCACAGACATGTAGCATGATGTCCTACCCAGTCACATTATCCTGACACCAGGCCGACCAGTCTTAACACTAAACTCTTAATGCTGACCGTCAAGCGAGGCAGCTGTTAGTACCATTTTTTGTAAGTCTTTGGTATGACTCGACCGGGGATATAACCCAGGATCTTCCGCATCTGAGGCGGACGCTCTAACCACTAGGCCATCAGAACAGTTTGACTAGTTGAACGATAAATCCATATAAATCATAGAAGGTCATTTGATGTTCCTTGTCTGATGCCCGCTAAGTACAGTAAGTTTATGTTGAATCTAACTCAGATAATACTAAAGAATAATTGATAGCATAACATACTGTATATCGTTTTTGACCTACTAAATTTACTACCAAAATAAATTAATCCATTAATTCTGGTAGTCAATACCTATAAGACCACGCAAAACAATTGTCACAAAGTTATTTTACAACTCATGTGTTCAATTTTCTTTCGATAACAGCATCAATACTGCTTATTTTGTATGGATGGAGGGATGGAGGGACGGATTTAGTTATGAGTACTACGGAAAAACATCAAAATGACCCAACGTACGACATTTTAAGATTTAGAAACAATGTACATATTTGGTTTAAACAAAGCAAAGATATTAACCAACAGCTAATATAATTACCTTAAAGTTCCACGGACGATATTTTAACGTTAGAGATTATTTGAAGTAAAATTAATCTTTAGACAAAAGGAAGATCCAACATACTGTATTCTCGTGCCTATAAATAATTTATATATCACAGAAACCAAAATAATGACATAAATCTTACCTTTAAAATGTTCACAATCTATTTTGCCAGTAGAATAGTTATATCTCTGTGGTCAAGTTTAACAGACTATTTTATTATTCCAATACTTTTAGAATCAGCGGAAGATCGGTACAGATGAAAGCACAAGTGTAACTGATGATAGCTCTGATGGGAACGAGTTGAATCAGGTGCCTAATATGATTCAGCCTTAATAAAAAAAAGTTATCAATGTCACATTTCATTTGGAAAAAATGGGAATTAATAAAATACTTAGTATGCTTGTATAAGGATGATTAATGCAAAGACAGAAATTATATAGATAAATCGTTTGAAAGGATATCATTATATTGTTTTTATTTTAATATCAATATCTGTATAACAGCAATACAGACATTCTTTCTGTCCATATAATAAAAAATGTTGTCATTGTTCGGCAAATGAATAAAAAAGAAAGCCAGAATGGATACATTTAAAAATCGCCTTTATAGTTTTATTAAACTGGTTTTCGTGCATAGCTCTGTTTGAAACTTAACTTTTAATTTGTTACCAACTGCTCTCAAGCCCTTCCAAACAGAGGCAAATATTTCATTTTTTAACCATCAAAAACAATGATTTGTTGATATATCCGTTACATGCATGACTACAGACGAGTCTTAATTTCAAAACTTGTATCATTGCAAGGACAATTGAACTGTAATTAACTATACATATTCATCCTTATTTCCAGACTCATCTTTAATATAATGTTTTTCTATTTTTGCACAGACGGCTGAAATGTACAATAAAAATGACCCCGTAAAAATTCAAAAGTTACTGGATGTCTGTCAGAAATACATGAAAGAAAATAGTAAGGTGGACGCTGTTCGATGTGCGATAGAAGTAATTAAGGGATTAGAGTTTTTGTATATAACAAAGTTTGATGACCGCAAATTTTTAGCGTCTTCCTTTGAGAGTTGTACAAGGATTTTTAAATTGGTAAGAGAAAAAATAAATGAATGTGCTGTTACATTTGATTTTTATTTTGATAATATAAATTGACAACTTTCAGAATCAATTTCTTGTTTTCTGTTTTCCTCGCGAACTTCGTATTTCTTGCAATAGTTCTTATAGTGATAAATTATATTTGTATGTGATGTGCGTGTACTTAGGTACATATCCTATTTACGACAATAGTAACACCCAATTTGCCACTTCAACTTTTGTTTCAGCAAATGTTCCAATGAATCATATCATCACATATGAAAAATTTCAGTCTTAGCTGCATTTATTGACATGAGTGATTCTTTATTGACATGAGTGATTCATATTATTTTGAAGTTCGTTTGCTCTGCTTTGAGTAAAATATATTTCAAAGCAATATAGTTATCTGAATTATCCTTTAATCTTTTCTCTTATTAGACCGGTGAACATTTTCATGCGCTCAGAAGCTTTTATAGAGGTAAGTTGCTCTTGTATTGATATTAATTATAGAAACTTAGTGAACAGAGTATTGTGTTCATGTGTTTTGTGTTGTATGCACTTAAATCTAAAATGTCAAGATTTCTGTACATTTTCGAAGAGACTTTTTTCGGAACAGTTAACTCAACGACATTGATTAACCTATTTTAGCTGACGTGGCGTGCGAGTAAACATTACACTCGACAACTAATTTCATTACTTTAATTATTTGTTATTACTATGGCAAATAACTCCCAAGTTGTCTCCAATGTAAACAAAAAGACTATATTGGATAAAAGTGTCACATCTTTCGATTATTTGGCGAATTTACATATTTGTGTTTTACATAAACAGCTACGATTTATTTAAGAGTGCCAGAACACTAGTATAACTGTTGAGAAAACGCAGCCTACAAGGATGAAAAATAAGAGGAAACAAATCTGTCAAAACATCGCCTACGGCGATAGTTTTTAACATTTCAGTGTCAGTTGAATTTGTTAAATATTTTTCTAACCTAATACAATGCTAAACACTTCTTATTAAAACACAAAGTTTGGAATGTATGTGGTGGTCTTCATTGTGCAATTAATTTAAAACTTAATAATACAATGAGTACTTAAATGATTGTTTATAAATGTTAATTTAATCAGTTTGACTATGATAATCATAATACATCTTTGTTCTGCTTATAATATTTATCCATATGTAAACATTACCGAGGGTTTTGGCTATAATCAAAACGTATGATCAACACAGGTATGCAAAACATGCACAAAGATATATATATATATATATATATATATATATATATATATATATATATATATATATATATATATATATATATATATATATATATATATATATATATATATATATTTATATATATATTCAATATTCATTCCAAAATGTTCCTAACTGTGTTTTTGTTCAAAAAAATTTATTATATGACATGACGTCAATCGTCGTAACATGAAAATTGAGCGTAGAGTAGTTTTGTAGAATAATGATTCCAAACTGTTAATGGACAAAATATAGTTGTCAAAGAGTAGTAATTCACGATTGTTTTCAAGTGAAACTTTCAAACTGTATTTTAGTCTTCATTTGTTCAAGGATAAATGCTGAAAAAGCATGAATTATCCTAAAATATTAACTTGAAGAGTGTGAAGTATCCCTGTGGGCTTTTATATTTCATTTTAAATAACACATAATTGTAATACATGCTACAATATACGTGGGTGTCTGCCCATAATGGTTATGACATGTAGAAAATATAAAAAGAAGTTGTGTCAAAATTTGCAAAACTAAGAATGATTATAATCTCAATGTATCTTAGTCTTTGGTATGGGTTTGGTTTTTGTAACAGTGCGCATTATAATAATATGTTAACTAGAAAATGATCTTTATAGGCATTGCCTTTGAGACACAGTGGAATCCTCAAATAAACCACAGACAATTGGCTGATCCACTGTTGATTAGTGTGCTAGACTCAAGCAATGGCCGTGAGGAGGTAATGCTACATTTGAATTTGCCATCAGTACAATAATAATTCTATTAATTGACTTACCATATAACATCGATTAAGTAGTAAATGTAATATAAATAAGAATCAAGAGTTTTCATTAACAAGTTATGTTCTTTACTTGAACTATTCTCTCTATCTTTTTTCTCAAAACTCCCAGAGATGCGAAATGTCTTTTTATAATTCGTGGCCGTTAAGTTGCAAGAATTGTTACTAAAACACAATTTATATAGCGATAAAGGGCGGTGGTCTTCATTGATTCAACCGTGGTCTTATATAGTACCTGTATCGTTATCACGTAAGCTCCACTTAATCTAGTACATTGCATCTGAAAGTTAATTTAGTTTCCTATAGCTTCCGATAGCATCGCTAATCTTTTTATAAAAAAAAACTCTATAAACATGCATCTAAGTGTCACAATCTAAAAGTGTACATTTACAGTATATGCTTGACCAACGTTTCGTTTAATAATGACGCTACTATTAAGTCCGTTTCGTAATATGAGCCTCACATCGCACATGGTAAATTAAATGAGACTTCCGCTGTTTTTTATCACCTGAATGATCTCTGATGTAATAATTATTTTCTTCCTCTTTTCTTTCATATTAAAATTTTCACGATTTACCTACTGCCAATTAACAAACACATATGTCTCAAAATGTGATAAAATCTCTCTTGTAACAATTTGAGAAGATACAGTTTTATTTGAGCACACTTTTATGATCTTCTCTCACTGTTTATATTTAAATTCCTTTGCATAATGATGAAAGAAGTGGCTGAAAAATAGAAATATTATACTTAGTCCTGCTTTTTTAAAAGAAATATATAAACAATGCAATATTCTTCAATACTTTTCGTCGTCGATGCATGTTCAATTTTTTCAGAATAAATGCCGTTAAGGCCAGTATAATTGTCTCTCTACAAATTGAATTCCAGTAATAAAGAAACCCTAAATTTGAGAGCTTTCTATTAGTACCCTAAGGATTCATATACATTTATTTCGAAACTAACTTATATGTTGGAATATATTGTACTTTGCAGTTTTATAATATCACAATTTAACGCACTTGACAATTTAAGCAAAAAGGTCATTACAATATGTTTTTACATTTTGATTTATTCGCATGGTAAAAACTTGTATGTTTCGCATGAAATGTTATTTGTTCTAATCATTATTTGTAATAATTATATATGTATATTTAAGAATATCTTATATTTGCATGACTAAGCATCGAGAGTATTTTATCTATATTTTACAGGATTTGCTGTACACTCTCGAAGATCTTAACAAATTATCTGGAGATTTTGAAAAGCGGAAATTTTGGCCTGCGTGGTATCAGATCGCAATTGATTTGTTTTTCCTCCACGAAGAAGCCATGACCAAAAGATTGCTCGATTTCAGTATTGACCTCTATCTTAGCTGCGCACTGAGAAGAGGAAGGGGCTTATTAAAATTGGTACGAA